GAGTAGCTCTTCAAATTGGATGTTCACTAAGAAGAAGTATGTACGCCGAAATGAGAAAATGGGGGAGAAAAAAAAGTGTTGCTCGGATCATTTGCAGTGCACTCTACTCTGAAGCCACAACCACGTAAGCGGATTCCACGATAGACGGAAGGTCAATGAAAGGGAACTTACCTAGTGGAGAGACAGGCAAACCTCCTAAGGGTGCGGACACACACTCCGCATCGAAGGATATGCCCCTTGCGATTTAGCATGGCCTTCCCGCGGCGCTATTGGCGCGCTACTACACGGTACGCCCTCTCGCGTCGTCTCGTGTCTGAGTCTCTAGCCGTTCAGCAGAGAGAGCGTTAGCGTTGAAGAGGGCAGCACCGATGAGAGTCGCATCAATGCGGAAATCAAAATCAACGGGCAAGGAAGGAGTCCCATTTTCGGGTTTAGGCAGTTTCTCTGTTTTTTTTTTCTTCCACTAGACCATGTTTGACTTGATTTCCGATGAGGTTCTCTTTCTTCGTAAATGAGGGAGGTAAGGAAGACCTAATCACAGATCTATATGCTGCATTACCTTACCGGATTAGAATCGGGCTCTAAAACAATTTGTTTCCCTACAAGAAAAAAGAAGCAGAGTTGTCCCCGATGAAGGTCCTCAAACAATTTTCCAAGCACTGGTCTTGTGAAGGGTCAAGTTCCAGTTATTCAGGAGCATCCAGTGCTCTGTGAGAAACCAAAACCTTCACTGTAACTTCAATAGGTTTTTAGCCGGTACGGAGGCTCAATATTCTACATGTAAAGATAAATGCAGGTGAGGAATCTTAATCACAGCCCTAAAATTGAGCTGGCTCTACCGTCACTTAAAGGCAAGATTCAGGATTGAATTATGAGTTAATTCCACTTAAATGTGAAAGTAGGGGTAGGTAGTGGACCGCCAGTGCAGAAAAGAGAAAAAGAAATCGTGAAATGCTTAGGAAATACGAGCCATTTCCTCTACGGTGCGGAGAAGTTCAAAAGGCCGGCAGGGAGATGAGAGATAATGTGAGCGCGGAGAGCGCTAGAGAAGTCTAAGTAGAGAGAGCATAGCAGATCAACATTCCGACGCAGACAAGATATCGAGCGGTGGGCGGAGCGTGTCGCAGCAGGTGGAGCGTGTCAAAGTTCTTAGAGCCTAGCGTCTAAATAACGGTTTTCGAAGTAGGGAAGTGACGCGACCCCTACACTTGCGTACCTAGCGCTTCTAGCCACCGTAAAGGCTCATTAAGTGGGTCTGAGCCCGAACTTTGCCTTTAAGCGATACCCCAGGCAGAATCCGTGTGAGCGGTCCTCCTTCGTCCTGTGAGGTAGTGCCCCAGCAGACAATCACGAACGTAACAGTCCCGTGCAACGAAAGCGCCCGAAAAAGGCGCTAGGGTCTTCTAAGCCAAGCTGCACGAGATGCACGGGCCGACTTGTCCAGCTGTGGGGTTCGCCGCAGCTGCGAGGCGAGTGTGCATGAAATGAGGGCCGCCCACATTGTTGCTTGTAGGGCGTTATTCCGATCAGATGATTCAGCATGCCACAACCGTGCGCCCAAAATCCCTTTTTCTTTCTTTAAATCAGCATTATGACCGAATTTCTTCTATCTAAAATCACTATTATTGTTATTATTCGTTGTATCATTTTGCAAAACCTTGCATTTTCAAAATCTACTCTTCCAATGGTCTAGCAAAGTGTTAATATCAAGTTCGGAAAACTCGTCCGGTTGCACCTCCCCTTGAAGGCTAGGCGAGATGTTACTGGAAGAGTGGAGGTTCCTGTTTAGGCTTCATCGCGGGTTTTTTTTCGCTGTTTCTTCCATTTCCATTCAACAATGCACACTCACATCCGTTATCGATCGCTCTTACCCCGCAAATCCGTGCCTGAGTTGTGCCTTTAATTCGGTCGGGAAGCATATGCACCACACGAAGCAGTTACTTGGCTGCCAGGAAGCGAGATGTGGCGCTTTCACGAGGTGCGCTGGTTGCTGAGCAGGACTTCGAAAGCACTCCGCCCCCAAAAGCGATCCGCCCACTAGTTTACTTGGTGATTTGGACGAGCTGCGTTGCCAGCAGCGGCACAACTGGAGCATCTCGATTAAAGCGTGGTTTGGCATGGTGCCACCAAACGCGTTGCGGAACTCGTTCATACGTCCACTTTCTGAGCTGTTCATGAGTGAAAACCAACGGCCAAAAAGGGGGTCCCGTTTTGCGTTTTCTTGACGGATTTTTCTGCTTTTTTTCGCCACTGGCGTACCATTGAGCACCACCACGTCACACTAACCCTTCTTGAATTTATCGTAATCGCTGCCTTTAAATGAGTCTTTTAGTGTTAGAGAGCCCGAAGGGGTGCTCTCTAGGACTGAGGATAAGACAGCAAGGAGTGCCCCTCCGAACTGGATTTTTACCATAGAGAGGTACGTGCGCCCCAATGAAAAAAAGAAGTGTTGCTCCGGATTGCAGTGACCTCTACTCTGAAGAGACAACGAGCGTAAGCGAATTCCACGATTTCAGACGAAAGGTCAAAGAAGAGAAGCAAGCTTGTAGAAAGACTAGCGAACGTTCTAAGAGTACGGACGCGCAAGTCGCATCGAAAGGATGCTCCTTGCGATTTAGCATGGCCTCCACCGCGGCGCTGCTTGGCGCGCTATTACGCGGTACGCCCCTCTCGCGTCGTCTCGTGTCTGAGTCTCTAGCCGTTCAGCAGAGAGAGCGTTAGCGTTGAAGAGGGCAGCACCGATGAGAGTCGCATCAATGCGGAAATCAAATCAGCCGGCGAGGAAGGAGTCCCATTTTTAGGGTTTTAGGCAGTTTTCTCTGTTTTTTTTTTACTTCCATGCATCAGACCATGTCTTACTTAATTTCCGATGGGGTGCCTTT